GAGGGTTTTCTAACCCACAGTTCTACTCCTCTCTCCCTGGACACATCTCCAGCATGACACTTGCACTGTCCCGGCCCCTTTATGACTTGACAACATCTCCCGTGGGGGGCCTCATGGTTTCTTGCAGAGTGAATGGGTGGCCCCTGCCCCTGCTCGGGGATCTGAGCCCTACACCACGGTCTTGCCCGGGGTATTGTGTCTCTGGTTGTTCCTTTAAGTTCCTGGCCCATCTCTTCTCATCGATTTGGCACTCCCCTTTTCTCCAGCTTACCAAAGACCCTCCTGACACCAGCTGTCCTAAACACATTTCCTCAAAAGAAAGATCCCATCTGAGCTGCCATCATGGGAGCATCAGCAGCGTCCCTTCCCCTGACTTCTCTCATTTCCAACGAACATTCGGACACTCCCTCTGCTCCCCCACAAGGAAGCATGCTCAGCCAACACTGGGGTCTCTTCTCTGACAGCAACCCCTGCCCCCAGCCTCCCATTCCCTTATCTCGAGGTTCTTCCTTTTCCAGGCTTGACCTCTCTTTATTGTCATTCTTCTCTCCATCAGTATCTCCTGTCTATGGTCATAGCTTATTTCAGCAGGGCTGGCCTCTTTCCCTGGCAATACCGACGGATTCATTTCTTCATAGCACTGTGAGTACTTTGCCTCATCCCATCGGTTAATATCCATTATCTTGGGAGGGAAGTGGGAGAGCGAGAAGTGGGACGCTATTTTTGTTTCAGCAGCTGGCCAGTTTGGGGGTCCAAACCCTTGACCTTGGTGTTATCAGCGCTGCACTCTACTGAGTGGGCTAACTGGCAAGCCCTACAGTGCTAACCATTCTTCTATTTTTAAACCTATTTCTACTGTTGACTCCGTGTATGAAAACGGTACAATTACAGTTTAGTGTTCTTATGCTGTTCTATGTAAAAACTAACCACCTTAACATCAGTTAAAAAAAAAAAAAAGTGAAGAGAGCAAACGTAAACATGAAACTCTCCTAAAAGGAGCGGAAGAAAGCCTTGACACAACCCTGCCCCCAGGCAAATACTCATTTCTGATTTCTCTGTTNCGGAAGAAAGCCTTGACACAACCCTGCCCCCAGGCAAATACTCATTTCTGATTTCTCTGTTTCTCTCTTTCCAATACTAATACCAATAGCAAATTAATTTTGTTTTCCTCCTCTGGATTCCCGTGGCCGATGCCACAATTCAGACCCTCCTAGCATAACACGGATCTATTGTAAAATGCTCCCTGCTGGTGTTTCTCACAAGTCTCTCCCCAAGCCAGTGGGCTTTACATGTGTTGCCTTCCAAAACACAAGTCTAAACTGCCTCACAGTCCTCCTTAATGACTTCACTGGTTAATGACTTCCCAAATCAAAGCCAGAGTTCTCAGCTTGAATTCACCTCTCCGTGCAATCTCTCTACCATCGAACCGGCTTACCATCTTGATATTTCATTCCTTTGTTTCTCTGCTCCTTTCAAGTGCCCATCCCTCAATTTTTATATTGTTTTCTGTCTAGGCGCCTTCCACACACATATATCTGAAGAAAATTACTTATCCTTAAAGTCCGTTCAAACACCAAAACCTTCTTGATGGCTTCCCTGATCTTCCAACTTCTTCGTCTTAGTAGCACTTTAATTAATTCTATTATAATATGTTACTTTGGAGTATAGTTTCTTATTTTCCCCTTCCCTTTCCCTAATCCCATTAGAATAGAAACCTATTGAAAGCAGGGTCTTGTCAGAATGTCAATGTGTTCTTAAAATCCTCAGCACAATTATTTTCCTTTTGAAAGTGTTTATGTTATATTGAGTCTATGAGGTAATCGGTGTGGCATTTGGCTATAGGATAAAGCATTCGTTCATTCACAAGATCTTAAGAGGTACATCCTATGTGCCAGGGAATGTGAGGTGATGGGAGGAGAGATCCAAGAAATACCTGGTGAATTGACGCACCAGCATGAACCAAGTCTTACATTAGCCATTTGGTAAGAGAGGGATGAAGAGAGAAATAAGTCAGAGTCGCCTTCTGTCTTCACGGTATTTACGATATAGCAGGAGAGACAAGTGTCTGCACATGTAACAAGTTGAATGGAAGGGGGACGAGGATGGGAATGGGGAAATCGATGTCAACTGCATTGCCTAAGGACGGCAAGAGACATCCTCAGGTTCTCCAGTTGGGTTTTTGTCTTCATCCTCAAGGTGTGAGAGGCGCCCTGTGGAAGGTCTCCATCCAGCAGTGGCCTCTTCATGAATGGGTCATACTCTGTCACACTGGGTAGGGCTGATGAGAGTCCGGTGCTGAGGACGGTCGGCTTGTCCTATCTGGGAGGCTGACCTCACGTGGAGGTCCTTCCCGCTTGTGCCCCTGACAAGCAAACTAATTTCTTTCTCCAGCTACCTGGCCAGTGACATGGAGGAGGACAACCAG